AGGTCGGCAATGGGAGCGGCGTGTCTTGAGCGAAGGCCGGGCAGGACCACTTGTTCCATCCGCGCCTTCGCTCCAGCAGAGCGGAGGGCGCGTTGGCCTAGAGAAGGGGCAGCCATCGCCTCCCGAGGGACGAGCAGGAGAGGAGGTGCGAGGACTGCGGTTTGCCTGCGGGCTTTGACCTCTCTGTCCACGTCCTCACGAGGCACAGACAGAGCACCCCATCCCCAGTTTGCAGGTTCCTGTCAGGAGATGGCTTCAAGGCACGCCACAGGTTTTCTGCTGCCCTCTCCCGTCCCAGGTGTTCACTCTGAGCCTTTGATCTCTGTGGTTATTTACACATCTTTCTCGTGCCAAGCACCTTCTTCCCTCCAAACACCCAACTGATTAACACGCCGCGTGGGTGCGCTTCCCCTCTCAGAAAGTGTGCCTGCAAGGCTCGCCTGTGCTCCCCAGCTGCCTGAGGTAACTCCATCACCTCTCGCACTCGTCTTGCTCCTCCAGTCTGGGTGCGAGTGTAGGAACTCTATTCAGAACAAATGCCAACGCGTTTCTTTTTTTAAAGACTCCCACCAGTCATTCCTTACTGTCTTTAAGCAAAACCCAGAAGTCAGCCAGATTTGTGTCTCCCAGCAGCTTTTCTGGAACCCAGCACTTGCAATTTGGGAACGCTTCCCTGGTGGCTCAGTACTGCTCAAGCATGAAGTCACCAACACCACGTCCCTGCCCGACGTGGGAGAGAGCGACTGGCTTCCTAAGGACAGGGCAAGAGCCCTCACTGCTGCTTTTGTAGTACGGATTTATTCTGAGGTTGTGGGTTACAGCTGTCCGTGTTCTCTCAATAGCACCTTCACTTTTGATTGCACTGCAGCAAATTCCCTGGGAATCTGGGATCATCCGTCTCCTCATAATCAGGAGTGAGACTTTGGCCAACCCTCCTCCCTCCTTCGCAGAATCAGCCTCCGTGTGATCGATTTGCTCCATCTCCTCTTTTGCTCAACGCTTTGAGCTCTGTAGGATTGACACTTTGTTCTGTTTTGTTCTTCATCGACAATGTCTGGTCCTGTAGGAGTTACCGACTGCCTGCAAACTGCACGCAGCCGTGCTCTCTGTAGTACACCTTTCCAAGGAGGCTTTTGCCTTTTTTCTGATTTCTCTCGAACTCAGTTTTTTGCACCAGTTATTAGGACCTGTGAGTTTTGTGTTCTACTGTTTCCACGTTCTCAAGCTTATTTTGGCACACGGTTATTGCAGGAGGAAGAGGAAAGCTGTGCCACCAGCAAGATTCGAGGGTTGTGAAGTTCCTTCTTTGACTGTCTCATTGTGTACCCACCAGCTCTGCTCTAAAGCAAGAGGTCATCTTTGCTGTAAGCAGACGTAACAGCAGAGTCGCTTGGTTACAGACAGTCACACTACACTTACTAAGTCCACATAACGGTTCGAAGATGAGCCATTTCTCAGCTAGGAACACCACCACCAGCCCCTAATGGTTTAATACCTGGAGTATACATACCTATGACTAAACGAATGCACAAGCCCTTGGTTGGGACAGCATACAGTCAGGAGAGATGCTTCTCAGGGCTACCCCTGGTGACTTTCCAGTCAATCTGAAGCCAAACCTTGGACGGGCTTAGAGAGCTCACAAACACATCTTCGTTTCCTTCTTTGACATCTAGGAAGTGACTGAAATGGTGGGTAGTGTTCGTGGCGCACGACACAGACCTGGTTCAGAAGGTGGGCCAGAGCCTCCTCAAGGGATGTGAACGTTTAGTCTAAACAGAGTTCTCCGTGCTCCAGCTCAGGTCCTGCATTTGCCACGAACGGCTATGCTTTAAAACTTCAGAAATGCATTTTCTTCCTTTAAACTTCACCACCAGCAAGAAAATAAAGCCAGCTTACATACTGAGGCATACATATTGCCTTAAGTTATAATAAAATAATTTTTGTTCAAAGAAAGAAGCTTATGAAAATTATTTGGGCCTATTTTCCCCTCTAAGCAAAATAAATACGAGAAACATAATACATGGAATGCACTCTGGAAAACATATGATGTCATCATTTCATAATTACGACACTGCAAATAATATAGAAAAAGGCTCAGTTCTGTGCCTTATTAATTATCTCTACACTATGCAGTGTCGAGGGAAAACAAAAAAATGCACCAAATCTGGCAAAGGATAAATCAACTTATTGAGAGGAGTGACAAGTGACTGTGAACCCAAGCGCGTAGGGGAGAGGGTTTTTATTTCCCGCTGGTGCGTGGCTGCGTCTGTGACACGTGGTAATAGCAATCCGCCGGATTGCATCTCCCGTCGGGTCCAGGCGGCCCCCGCGGTCCGGCTGAGCCCGGCGTTCCCGGCGGGCCCGGCAGGCCAGTAGCTGGTAAAACAAAGCTGGAATTAGCAGCGTCCTCGCGGCGCCAGCCGGGGAGCCAGCCCCCCCGCGAGAAGGCAGCGGGGCCTGACCTCACGCCGCCACCAGCCGCCGGAGGAAAGGCTCGGGTGTAAAGCTGGCATGGAGACCAGGAGAAAGAGCTGTTAGTTCACAGATAACAGCAGCAGAAATAAATCTGGAGACGTGTACCTGAAGGGCCGGGTGGTCCAGTGTCACCGGGCAGTCCAATTCCAGGCTCGCCTCTTTCCCCTTTCTGTCCTCTATAACCTACACAGAATAAAGACATGAAAATAAGAGTGTCCTCTTATTGTAAAGTGATCTTCCATATATCTCGTTGACAGGAAATTATCATGACAAATGTAATCGGGAAAACACACGCTCACTTTTTTTCCTGAGGCTGGTATTTTTTTCTGAAGCAGCCCTTATGTTTACAAGCTCCTTCTGGAAAACACGAGAATTTCTAGCAGTGGCCATTGCATCCTCTTCCAGAGGAATCTCGCTGTCTTTGCTAGCTGGACCCTTCCCCAAGATTTTAATTTACCTTCCTGAAGTTCCTCTAACAAAGAACGAAATGCGTGCTCTGCTCCACTGTTAGCTGCTCACTGGAGTGGCGTAAAGCACCAGCCCAAAGGCCATCTGGAGTCTGACCAGCCCTCCTCTGACAGCCCCCAAACCGAGTGAGACTTCAGCCCCGCCGCTCTACACCAGTCTTTATGTCTGCGCTTTTTTAGACAACTGGAAGTTGTATGCTCGGGTATTCCCCTACATGCAGGAGAAGACCCACTCCCGCCCCAGAGCTGCCCTCAGGTGGAACGAGGCACCTTCAGAGCTTGCGCAGATTATCGCTTCCAGCATGCAAAGCCTGCTTGGACCCAAGTGCCTGCACATCGTTAACAAAGTGTGATGACCAATTATACTCGGAGTATCTGTGTCCGTTTTCTTCACAGGCCGTAGCTTTGTATTTATCTAAGTGGCTTCCATCTTGTCAAGTGCTGCAACTCATGTCCAACCTGTTTCTTTTTCCTTAAACTGTTTGTAAAAAAATGTATTAGTTGGAAACACTTGGGCTGTTTTAAATCACAGAACTCATGAGTATCGGTATAAAATTTTGCTTATTATTTCCAGTTAAAAATCCATCTAAAAAAGTAGCTTTTCTGTCTAGACCATGTAATTTATGTAGGACATGGGATGAAGGCATTTTTAAAGGAACAAGTGTGATGCCTGCCAGAAACCCTTACTTGAAGAGGGATCATAAGAAAACCCTCTTCCCTTTCCAACACCTCAGACACTGGCATGTAAGGTGACATTAATTTGCCAACTTCTGGTCACGCTGGGAATTAAATTTGTTCTGCTGCAGGGACCAATATATTTCTAGTGCCGTGTATGCCATACAATAAGCTTCCTCTTGTGAAGAGCTGTAGCTTATATTGAATTAAAGGAGTCACAGCTGACCAGTCAGCAAGGTGGTATCAATCCACCTGATGTCTCACAGAGATTAATGGGCACTGGGAGATGGATGGCAAAGGTTGTCTGGTCAGGGTACTGTGGTCTGTGGAAATACTGGTAATTTACAGAACAACTGTAAGTGCTGTGGGTACCAATTCAGGGCTGTCACAACGCACACAACGCAGTAGTAATGGTACACAGAGTATTCAAGCTTTCCATTAAACACAAGCTCATTAGACACTTTGGGAGAAAGTCTATCATCTGTTGCAGTCATTCTAGGTTTTGAAACAGAGCATAAATTATCTTATTCTTCTCTCAGCACCCCAACAAGGAAATGACAGTGAGGCACAGACTTTAGAAAATGCATGCAGTGACATGCATAACATAACAAAAGGAAATCAACTGATTAAAAGCTCACAGAGAAGCAAACTTAATATTAATCATGCATTCTGGTCACTGAGTTGTGTTGAGCAGAATTGTACAAGGCATATATGTACACAAGCTACAAAGACGCAGAAAAGGGAATATGTAGGTGTTTGTATTCAGCTGTGAATCTTGATTTTGCTCTTTAACGACCATAGTAGTATTTATAACTACCTCAAGTTGGCTGGCTCTGAAAATCTTCTGTAACGCATAGTAGTTGCTGCTGTTTGAGAAGGTCAATCACACAACCACAGGATCTATTACATTTCCTATTTATTTTATATATATATATATCTATGTTTCTTGATTTACCATAAATACAGCACATTTCTCACTACAAACTCAGTTAATTGTAATTTTACAAAGTAGTGCTGCCACTAATCATTTGTTTTGCATTTCTTTAGTTATGGGGAAAAGAGAGAAATCACATTTACGATATATCACATTTACAAGCTCCATGATAACCATTACTGTAGGGTTCTGAGACATCGTCATTGGAAAGGGACTGAGATAGACTGAAAGATTCTGTAAACATCGCTGAAACACAAGACAATCAGGAAAAAATAACCCACAATAGGACAACGAGCAGCCTGCCAGTGCAATGTACAATCCACAGTAGTGTAAGCCATTACTGGATGTATCTGAGTACACATGCAAAGGTGTAGTTTGTACACAGTGGCAGGCAAGTTCTGTTGACACTGAAGTTTAACAAAAAAACTTCCCAGTATCTTTTCTAAAAATAAGGCTTTATTAAACAGGGTGTAAGCATATTAGTAAACAGGCCTATATGTAAACAATCCGAACAATGTAATGTGTAATTCTGGCAGGAAAATACTTGATTTTTAATGAGGTATATTTTGCTCAGGAGTAGGGCCATGATTACACTTCAAGAGGATAATATCACCTTCTCTCTGAGCTTAAAGTGACAAATTTGTACACAGTCAAAGGAAAATATTACCATACACTTAAATCAGATTTCGATTTATTGTTTTTAATGTAAAGGCACATATAAGAAGCTATTTTTACTGGTAGAATTACAATTCCAGTAAGTGGTACCTGCTTAATTGAAAAGGCGATTGCTTTAGCAAAGCCTTTTACTTGGATTCCAGAAGTTTTGTTGTGATTTCTGCAACCCAAAAGTTGTGGTATGTAAACACGTACCCAATGTGGGTAGCACGTATGTGTTCAAACGGGTAAGTGTTCTTCTGCTCGTAGATGAACAGAGATAGCTAAAACACAGCTCTTGATTTGGTGCTCTCCACAAACATCACAGTCAGAAGCATCGCTACTGCAACACCCTCAGCTCTACTTGGAAATGACACAAGTTCATGTATATGAACTTGGCAGTAAAAAGTTCTCTCATTTAAACAGCTCCAAAAGGAATTCCACCTGTATCGTGGAGACCCTCTTCCATCTGCATGGATAATGCAGCAACTGAAACTAGCATGTAAAATATATAGAGAAATCTGAGATTAATACAGGTCTGAGGCAAACACATTACCATGGCAGGGAACAATGAGACCGAAGTTACCCGTTCTGTTTTACCGTGCAAATACTCCACGTTCTTACAAACAAACAACTGCAAAGCAACAGGAAGAGTGCCAAGAGCAAGCCTTCTTCTCCAGCCTCCAGTGCATATTCTGGATTCCTTCTCTGTGTTATAGTCCTCTCAGCAGAGAGGTGGTAACTGAGTTTCAAACCAAAGTAAAACAGCTTAACTACACCCTCTGCAGCAAAGAACAGTTTATAGGAGGTAACGCTTGAAACCAGTGCAGCTATTTCAGATGAGTGACTGTGTCTGGACAATATCCACTACAATGCGCTCCTGATGTCAGCCGAGGTTTCTACATGCTCCCACCATGCAAATTAATAGTTATAATAAGAGACACAAATTTTACAACAGAGATTAGAAATAAAGATAAGGAACTTTCACTATTCATCACGTGGTATTTTTCTTCCCTGAGCTGCAATGCTTGATTCCTCGAGGCTACCATGAGTTCTGAGGACCTATAAAAAAACCTCATTTCCTTAATTTGATAGAAACAGTGAAGTTTAACTAAGATGGAATCTTTTCTCTATTGAGAAAAAAAAACAACAGTCTTATTAACATAAACTATCTCTGGATTGCAGAATTATCCCAAGGTGCACTTGGTCTAATGGACCAAAACTCACTTACTAGTATAGTTTTAAATATTCAGTGAAGTCAGTGGACATAACTGATGTAGATCCTCTAACACATGACAAGCTGACTGACTATATGCAAATGGATGGCATTGCTATAGCTTGTCTAGAAAGGCTTGAAATAAACTTCCCATTTCTCTGCGAGACATTAGCATCCTTTAAAACACATACAGAGCAAACCAGTTCCTCTGTTCTCCCTTAGCAGAGGCTGTTCATTTCACTGGTAACACTGCCTCACAGTATCAGCTTGCTGGTGCATATGCCCTAGGTTATTTCTTTCAAATGAAGGAATTAGAGAGATACATATATATATAAAACTATTCCATTCACTATTATATAAACTCTGTTTAAAAACCAATTGCATGTTTCATAATTTAAGTTGCAATTCTTTGTTGTCTTTTGTTTGCATGCTATATTTTATTAAGACCATCCTATAAAATCAATGTTATTTGTACCTGAACCACTGGGAAGTACCTGAAGTATGCTGTGAACAACTGTGCTGAAGGCCAGCAAGGACCTTCGTTAGAAATGAATGACTCTATGCCCAAGAGTCTAGCAGTTCCTTAAATACACTTTTTGAAGACCATGCCTACACTTCCAGAAGTTAGTATCTGTGTTTTCTGCTTCTGGGACTAACCTCTACCTATCGGTCTGCTGTGCAGAAGGAGGCTCTGGTGGAACACAGCAAGGTCAGACAAGACCAGTTCCCAGGGGAACTGGCACCACACTTGAGGCATACAGAGGGACCCCTGCAAAGCTGCATGTGAAGTTAAGCACCTCCTTGGACACGCAGTGACACTTGCCCATCCAGCTCTGGCAGGCTCTCTGCTCAGTGTGCAGCATCACAAACACGCTCTGGAGGTGCTTGCAGGGGTCCTGTTAATTGCTCTCCAAAAGTATCTACTTCTTTCCACTGGCTGTATGGGACAAGTGATTGTTCCACTCTGCCAGCCCAGATGTGCATTACTGCACACAGAATAACCCTGGAGTTGGCAGTCTGGGCTACAACCAGGTGAGAAATATAATAAGTAATGTCTGTCAGTCAATACTAAACATGTATGATGTCTTGGGCATATGTCCACACAGCATGCTACCTTGATGGTCTCAGCCACACATGCACGTAACATGCTTCTCCAAGAAGTCTTGTCTGCTATGTCTTTCATGGCTGAAAAAAAGCTGGAATATGGAAGGATACTTTTCAGTCTGCTCAGAGATTTGAATATTTTTTTTCTGTTGGCACAAAACAGTAGCACACACAGGCACAACTGGGAAAGGCATGAAGGGTATTTGTAAGTGTGCTTCTCTCACGGGACTATCTCTTAATCAGAGTGTAAAAAAGAGGCAAGACAAATTTTTGGTTTTCTTTCCTTGGAAGTATCATTTCGTACATCTTTTTGATGTCTCTGAGAAGTAAATGTTTCTCACTTAGCTTGCCTTTTACTAATCAAAAAAGAGTATTGAGCATATCAGTAAAACAAATGGAAATCCTGTGTACATGGGGCACTACTTTTACTTAAGCACAAGGCATGAAAAAGCAGCTTTATTTTTTTTTTCAAGCGTAGCTATCATCTTTACTCTTGACGCTCACTAGCTGGCAACGAAGCCTAGCACAACGTTCCACTTCCCAGAAGCATCTGAGACTATCCGCCACATACATCATCATTGAACAATCTGGCACTGACATTGAAGTTGACTGTTTACAGTGAGCTGAATATTTAGGTAATGATGAAGTCAGTGTTGTAAGACTCTAAGCCTTTTACTGTTCTCCTTGATCCTTTATTCTTGTTCTTCTCATTCTGAGCTCATCACATTTTTCAAGCTTCTGTCAAGGGTTTGCGCTTATCAATGTTAGTAAGTCTTTATTCTTCTGATAGCTTTAGGATCCACACATCTTCAGCTTTGCTCTCATGTTCTTCATTCCAGTCTGACTTGCTCTGACTCCAGAGCAGACCAAACTAACAAAAGATAATAAAGAACTACCTGCAGATAAACTGCAAATTACATGTAACCCACCCACAAAATATATTCATCGATAAATTATGTTTTCCTTTTATTCTGTTCTCTTCCTTCTAATCTGAGGGGCTGACTCTACAGTAGAGCACAGCTACAATGAGCCTGGATCCCTTGAGGCTAATTTTGCAGTGAAAGACAGTTCAGTGAAACTAGAGTCGTATACTGTCCAAATGCATTGCAATGTACAAGTTACCATTTGGGGTACAGTGAAAAGCTGATTACTCTGAAAATGATTTGTGAAAATAGATTACTTCACTGCAAGAAGAATTTATGTGCTAGTATTTCAATTTTCACTCCTGCTTAAAGAATAATATTTGCCTTCTGTTTTAGCTTCCCTGTGTTGTCTCCGGATCAGAGCTGAGAGCACTCAGACTTGGAGATCAAATTTTGTCTCTTAACTAAGATGGTCTCTCAATATGGAACAGGATCTAAACAGTTACATTAGAGTGCTGGCATAGTTTTTCTTCCTTATTAAAGTATTTTGGAGAAGACAAAACCCGCAACAGTAGTCTAGATAACTGTCAGCTTTAGGTATCTGTCAGTAATTAATTTTACCACTTATTAGAATAAAGGCACTGATTAGGAGTTTTTAATCAGTCAAATCCACACATTTACTATGGGTTAATATTTAGATCTAGTCTGGAAAAACATAAGTACAGTTTTAAACGTTAATCATTAGGAAGCTAGATAGGTAGTCCTGGCTTATTTAATATTCATTAGCAAGTGTATAAAGATTTCAAGATACAATTCATGTGAACATTTTTTTTAATTCCTACCTTGAATTCCACGTTCTCCTGGTGGCCCTGGCAAACCATCCTTTCCTGGTGGCCCTGGTAATCCATCTTTTCCTGGGGGCCCTGGTTTCCCATGGGCTTGGGAGGCGAGCATTGCAGCAGGCAGCTTCAGCTGGGATACAAACTGAGACATCCTTTCTTCATTAACAAAGGACACAAGAAAAGGTGGGTAAGAAATCTGGTAGCAAAATACAGGAAAATAAATAAACCCCAAAGCCCCAGCTAAACTAAGTTTCTGGAAGTAACGTGTTTAATCCTTCTAAACATCAAGGTATGAAGTGCTCCTATAACCACTGAGACTCATGTCTGGGTCTTCACCCTTTGAAATAATCCAAACAAATTTGTACTACAGTTTCTATTACTACTTTCTTTTAAAATACATTCCAATATATCAAATGACTTCTAACTCCTATTCATGGCAGTACTTAAAATACATGAACACAGAATAATTAGTCCCTAACACCCCTATGAAGGGCTACCTGCTATGTTTGCAATTCATATTAAGTTGCAAGGTAGAGCTTAAATACCACGAACAGTTCTTGGAACGTGCTGAAACCCTGAAAACAGTTGTGAAAAAACCTGTGAGTGCTCAGCAGACATTAATTGCAGACATTTCGGCATGAACTGTTCATGCTAGTGGAATAAAGTGCCCTTAGTAACATACCAGTGTTCCTTAAAGGTAGACCAAATAAGTACTAACCTCGAGTCTCTCTCATTTACACTGGATTAAAAAACTTAAATAAGCATTCCACAATTTAGCAAGTATTTACTGTGGTGGAGTTTTAAGACACACGAAAAAAAATCAGAGTAAAGAGAAGAGTGGGCATCAAACAAAAAATAAACAACGTGAGAGAAAATAGGCAAAGTGAAACAAAGGCAAAAGTAGAACATCTGTGGGAACACTAGAGAGGTGTAGAAAATAGAATAGCTATAAAGACAAAAATCAATATTCCCAGTAAGCAGGACACCTTTTAATACTTTTTTTTTTTATGACTAGACTAAATACTTGTTACCATTCCATTTGAATGGGAAAAGAAGGTAACTGTAGCCAGTGAGCTGCTCTTGAAATACCTAGTAGGTTAAACTCCTAAGGGGTAGCAGTCTGGGGAAGGGTGAAAATACAAAAGTGATAGCCTGGTTATAAAGTGAAAAAGTGTTTGAACAGTTTAAAAAGTCTCAAGTTTTGTATGATTTCTTTTATCCTTAAAAGAGAAACGGTTTTGTATCCACAAATATTAGTGACAAAATAGCTAAGCATATTGCAGACGTAAGAAATGCATTCTGCAATGGAAGCCAAGCTACTATTACACTGCTGAGACGTTCAAGCAGAAGCTTGTCTCAGACACCTACCTGAGTCACAGCTTTTCAACCCTGACTAAGAGAACACCAGGGAAGAAAAATGTTTCCTTTTCAGAGTAAGGACACACCTAAGAAAGCTTACATGGCACAAAAGCCTTGGCTGAATCTGTTATGTGCCTAAAACCCCGTCAGAAGATGACGGTCTGCAAGGGAGCTTTGGAGCTCAGCAGGGATGTTTGCTGCAAAGGCACAGCAGTGCTGCGCAACTGAAAGCTGTCAAGCCTTCCTCTCATTTAGACAGCCATCCACTAAGTGGCCAAAATAATTAGTTGTTTCTATTTTCTCCACTTTAATAAATCTTCAATGTCTTAGTGATACGTTCTAGATGTGTATGTGTCGTGTCTGCAATAATATATGATACACATATGTATCTACAATGATACATACATATGTTTGCTATTATGATTTGGAGCAAACTACCTTTGAATGCTAATCTTTTAAATGAGGAAATACTCTGGTTAACAGATACTGTAATTTATAATTGCTTAAACAAAATTATATTATGTGCACTTAAACAACAGTTAAGCATAGCTACAGCAACAAGGCAGCTGCCAAGTCCAATGTAAGTTGGATGACAAAGAAATGTACATAAAGGCTACAGAGATGTAAAACATTTACAACAGAATTTAAGACTTATGATCTTCTTACCTTCAAAAACCTTAAGAACCTCTTGCTTGATATATTTTTTTATTTCTTCAAGTGAAACCGTATCAGCCTGAGGAGGAAACAAAAAGGTGATATATATCAAAAGAAACATATGGAGGGCACTTTTTGATGCTACAAAATAAAAATTGCTGAAATTGGTATTCAGCATGTAAAGCTTTCCCCAAAAACGTTTTAATATATTTGTGTTATTCACTTAATGGCAAAGGCCAATTTATTACAAATACTTTATAATATTATAAAGACCACTCATACCATGAAGTGGAAGAGGCACTCCCAACTGTCAGGATCATCAGCAGGTTATGTGTTTTGAAATTAATTTGAATAAAATGGTAAGCATGTCCAGTGACACTGCTATGCTTTACTTGCCTCATCCCTCTAGGGACTAACTATTTTGATGTGCAGCCAACTAACTAAAACAGCATCACAGGAGCAATAACTTCACTGGAAAAGATTTTCAGAGCTTTATCCTACCCGACCAAGGGTAAAAAGAACTCACAACATGGATGTGTGCCTGTGCGCACATGGAGACAAACCAAGATGTCTACAATTGACAGGCAGCACTTCATTGTCTTTTTAAATGCTGATTTCCCTTTTATTGAGAATCATTTATGTCTGCCTCTTTTTCTTTCTCACTTGCAAAGGCCCACACTTTAGCTCTTAAGCTTATGAAAAACTTGAAAATTAACTGTATTGAGAAGCCGTATTGATTTGTCAGCACTAAAGAAATAAATAATTGAAGTTTATCCATAGCACATGTTTGAAAAATAAAAAATAAAAATAACTGCTTAATCACCTGGCTATATTTTTTCCACCTCTGTTAACTGAACACTGAAATTATCTTAGAGATAACTAAGTTTTTCTGATACTGTGGTATTGCTTGGTTGAATTTCCACAGCTCAGCACATACTCCCTTCATTTCGTCTGAATTCACAAGCAACCAAGGAAAACTTGTATTTACTTACTGGAAAGCCAGGGGGTCCTGGGGAACCCGGGGGACCTTGATGACCTGGTGATCCTGGATAGCCTCTGTCTCCTGGTGGCCCAATAGGTCCCACATCCCCCTTTTCTCCTGATGGGCCAGGTTTCCCTCGTTCACCTTGTGGACCTTTGTCCCCTGGAATACCCTGATCTCCCTGTGTAAAATAAAAGCAGAAGGAAAACCAGTGCATACAGTGGAACAGACTGGGAAAAGTCACCCAAGAATACTAAAGAGAAAATTCTTCCCTGTTCAGAAATAGATTTTATGAGTCATGCAGGGAAGCCATTTTTACAGGCTAACCCTTGTCTCCGAAAACACAGCGAGTAACGTTTTGTTTTGTTACACTTCTAATGTTGAAGGCAATGACAAAAAAAAAAAATAGCTAGACTCTGTAACCCACTTTTCAAGGGCAGAACTTGGGTGCAGAAAGTTTATAGCCCTTACACAAGGATCTAGAAATGTCAAATAAGGCACAGGTAGAACTTAGATGCTCACATTCCCACAGGCACAAGACATCAGGCTGTTTTCTGTAACTTTCCCTAGAAGCCTAATGTTTTATTTCTGCAAGTACACAAAATTTATTTCAGTTAATCAAAGAAACAACAAATACAGAAACCCATTTATAATGAGTGAATTGCTTGCTAACAAAATAAATTAAAGGTCGGTGTTTTGGCCAGCAACAGCTTTCATCATAGCTGAGATGGCATTTAAATTTATTTGTGAGGAATTAAATCTTTTAGAGTGACTTAATGTATTAGCTATTAGTTCACTGAACCGCAGCGGCAGAACAGAGTGCCGCAAGTCACACGTTCTGGTTATTAATGAACAGCTGGCAGTTCTTAAGGGTCACTGACTGCCCTTGCTGCATCACTTAAGCTAATGGTAGGCTCCACCAGAAGCAGCAAACACCACATCATTACTAGATAAATCCAGAGTCTACATTTATGAGGGGTGAATGAGTGGAATTAATTGCATTGTTAATCTACAGCAAGTGCTGGTAAACTGTATTCAGATCTGAAACATCATTGACTGATAAACCAATAAAAGTGTAGTTAGATTCTTAAGTCATGTTTACATGTAAAGATTGAAAAAGAAAGAAAGGAAGGTAAGGATGCAAGTAGGAGGTGGTAGAACATTTTTATCACCCATTTGTCCTCCAATCTGTATGATTTCCAGTGAGCTAGAGCTTATTACTGACTATAACTAAGCTTCTCTACAAAGACCACTGTGACCTGTGATATTTTACTGTTTTAACTGAAACCATAATGCATTCCCAATTGGAGTTTAAATTGCCCTCAGGAAGAGTGCAGAGGCTCTGAACTCTGAAAGTCTACCACAAGAAAACCCAAGTGTCAAAATCTGAGACCTCATCATCCCACACCTATAATTTTAACCTCCATGATGGGTTGACTTTGACTCAGTCACTCTCTCATTCCTCCTCCTCAACAAGACAGGGGAAGAAAATGAGCTTAAAAGCTTGTGAGTCAAGATGGGGACTTGGAGATCACTCACCAGTGAGCTGAGTCAGGGGAAAACAGACTGAACTTGGGGAAGATTAACTGAATTTATTGCAAATTAATAACAGAGCAGGATAATGAGACCTTCCGCTTGACCCACTCCCTTTCTTTCCAGGCTCAACTTCACTCCTCGCTCTTCTGCCTCCTCCCCAGCACGGTTCAGGGGGATGGGGAATGAGGGTTGTGGTCAGTCCTTAACATTTCATCTCTGCTGCTCCCTCCTTCTCAAATTCTTCTGCTGCTCCAGCATGGGGTCCCTCCCTTGGGAGACAGTCCTTCATGCACTGCTCCAGCATGGGTGCTTTCCACAGGCTGTGGTTCTTCAGGAACGGACTGCTCTAGTGTGGGTCCCCCATGGGGGACAGTTCCTGCCTGAAAACTTGCTGCAGTGTGGGCTCCCCTCCACAGGCTGCAGGTCCTGCCAGGAGCCTCCTCCAGTGTGAGCTCCCCATGGACTGCAGCTTCCTTCAGGGCACATCCACCTGCTCAAGCATGGGGTCCTCCACGGGCTGCAGGTGGATATCTTCTCCACCGTGGTCCTCCATGGGCTGCAGGGGGACAGCCTGCCTCACCATGGTCTTCTCCAAAGGCTGCAGGGGAATCTGGTCCCTGGAGCACCTCATTCCCTCCTTCTTCATCGACCTTGGTGTCTGCAGAGTTGTTTCCTGCACGTTTTCTCACTCCTCCCTCCCAGCTGCTGAACAGCAGTTTTTACCCTTTCTATCACACAGGCAGAACCAGTGTGCCCGACGGGCTCGGCTTTGGCCAGCAGCAGGTCTGTCTTCGAGCCGACTGGAACTGGCTCTGTCTGACACGGGGGCAGCTCCTGGTGTCTTCTCACAGAGGCCACCTCTGCAGCCCCCCGTTACCAAAACCTTGCCATGTAAACCCAGTACAATCTGTCAAACTTCTAACACGATCACATAGTCAGGGAAGTTGACGTGACATGGAAACAATCTCCGTGTGATTGTGTTTATTGTATTTCTCTTAAAAGACCTATCCTGCCAATATGGCAGACACTTCATCTCCAGTTTTAGTTTCTGGGCATTAATACTTTGTGTAAAACTCTAAGTATGAGGCATATGAATGATTTCCAACAATCACAAAGCTAATTTAGCTATTCAGTAGAAAAATGAGAAGATATTATGTGATACCTAAAAGACACCTCTAACCCCTGTCAAAGACTCTCAAATTCTCAAGAGTTGATGGCAGCAGGAAAGGGAGCGTATGTGCATTGGGGGGAATTGGAAGAGTAATGTTCTGATGGAAGAGGCGTACCTTTTCAGGTTTCTATAAATTAATAAGATTCAGAGGAAAAAATGTTCTGTCCTGCATACAGCTATTGTATCAGGATGTGCACTGAAGCACCTTGAGAAGTTCAGGGCAGAGGAAGGATTCTGACTGAGAAGCAGAACTTTTGTAGTCTGCAGAGAGGAGGCTCTTTTCTGGCCTTAAAGTTTTTGCATCCAACGTCCACTTCCGACTTCACTCATAGCAACCTGAAACATTATATAAATTGAAGAACAACTGTTCTACCATATGTCATTGCAAAACTTGAAAGAGGCATAGCCTTTAATGTCATTTTTAGTTGAGTCCCTTTTTTGAGATTGAAGTATGGTATAGGGAGCCACTGAACACACCATTTTGTCCGATACTGCTTTCACACATGCATGCACCCACACATACAAAAAAAGCTATCTGAAGATTACTGGACTTACAAGAAGCCTTCATTAAAAATGTACTTAAGGCATAAATATATATACATCATTTCTCAGGTTTTTAACCCTGCAGAGTAGGTATGGATAGCTATTCTACTAGAAATGAAGGAAAACACAGGTTTCTCTAAGACCATGGTGTTATGACAGTGTGAAGCTGATCCTGGAATTGCTTTCCCTCTAAACAATTCCCATTTTACAGGCTGCCAGTGTGTAGGAGGGAAATAAAATACTACAGCCACTTTTCAAATAAGCATTTTTAAACTGTTTCCTGTGTTTGTTTTGTGTTTGGAAGAAGATGCTTGTAAAAATTCATAAAAATCACTTGTATCTTCCTCCAGATTCCTCTTTAAACTCCCCTTCACCATGAATTGTACAAAAACTAGGCTAGGGCATTTGCATTTTGTGATCTCTGGCTACTGTGCTGATTTATTCAGTCCTCCTCTTTTTGAGTGTTCTCCCACCTCTTGCATGTAATCTTGTATTAAATTCTGTGCAGAAGGAGCTATTGTTTTGCCTGGGTTTCTACACGCTCTAATCCAGCGGGCTCCCAGTCTGTGGTCGAGGTATGCAGATAACAGCAACAAATGAGCCAGCCACCAGTACTTTAATCTGTTGTTGAAATGACTTGAAAGCTGTATTTCTGATTGGTATAATCCACTTGTTTTCAACTGGTTTGTCACTTCCTTTATAAAGTAGTAATAACAGCAGTGTTTTGTCACTCAAAAGGATGTACACGATTATTTCGGCTGAGGTGACTTCTTCCTTCTTAAAACAGATTCTACAAGGATATACTTATGTTAGACATGAAAACCTCAAGAGTTTTATTCTGTCCTTCCAATTTCAATGTTTCTCTTTTCTGTGATTGCAACAGCTGGTCTCAAACTGCAGGAGTATGCTGTACAGCAGTAATAATAATGGCTGCAAGAAAATGTTGACTTTGTGTTATTTTCTGTAATCATTGCAATCTCTCTCACAGATGCAGGTCTGTAATACCTGATCCAGAAGGAAAAAAAACCAGTCGGCTCCAACTCCCCCACTGATCTCTTATCCAAGATGCAGACTCCTGCTGTGTATTTCACTGTTATTCCTTAGGCAGATCTCCCCTCTTTTCCTGCAGAATTGTAAGGTACAACTGACAGCTTTCTGAAAATGGTATTCAGATACTGCATTGGGCTTATTTATAAATTTCCTGTTATAAAAGGTTGTGAGAGATTTTCATTATTACTGGAGACAAAAATACTTCTGGAAATGGATCTATTTTTTAACATGTACATATACATATTTATTTTATGTTTATATATATGTGTGTGTGTGTATCACAGAATCACAGAATAGTAGGGGTTGGAAGGGACCTCTGTGTAGGAACTGCGTGCGAACAGAGTTTGATGAGACTCCAAGATGCACTGTTGGGATCTTTCAGAGATGCTGGTCACATGGTTGTTCTGCCATACTGAGGACACTAATTGCACTGTCTTCCTTTGTCAGCAGGTTTTCAAAGGAAATAGGATGACCTTTCACTGTCCCCCGCAGACAGGGACTGAGGAGTGCATTCCTTCACTCCTTGTTACCACACCTGCTAGAAACAAACCCACAGACTTGGGCAGCATTGCTGTGTGAGACACACACACAGCAAAGACACAGAGGACACAGAGCTGTGGACAAGGCCAAGCAGGCAGTGGGGCCCATAAGACCAGCTTAGTTCCTATCTTCCTCGGATACGGGTCAACAGCAGACCTCCCACATCCTCCAACAGGAAAAATTCAAGTAGGTGGAGGCTAAAGACAGGGTTGCTTTAGCATGGAGAGGAGATCAAGAGAGAGAGGTTTGTGTCAGTGATACCAGCTCCATCCTCCCACAGACTTTCTCCTCTTAACTCCTTCAATCAATTGCCCCTGTAATTTGAGGCAATACACCGCTAACTACAGCCTCTTCGATATGCCAGTCACTAATGCTTGAATGCTTTAAAAACGAAGGGATTGTGAGAGGGGATGGTGAAGGGACAGGGGTGAAGGTGCGCTGTGCCAGGGAAGGAGCAAGTCCTCTCTCCAGCTCTCTGATGTTGGCTCCTGCTGTTCAAATGGAACCTTACCCGGGAAAATAAATCTTTAGTTAAAGAATGTTGCAAACACCCACAATGGGGCTTTATCGTAGCAATACCAACCCCACTGCAGCTTGTAAACATTTGGTTGGACAGAGGGTGAGCAGCAACAACCCCACACCGTGCTGAAGTCCGCATTCCTAGAATTCCCCAGCGAAGGCAGGCATGCTCAGGGAAGGCAGCTTAGTGGCTCAGGGGTTATTAGCTGAGAGTTCAGGTTCAGATGTGCAATGGGACGGAGGTCAGGGCATGGATATAGCTCCTTGTCTCTCCCTGGCTTTCATTCGAAAATTTTCACGCATTCTCAGCATAGCATCTACAGTGTCCTCTCTCCACCCGCTAGTGCACAAAGGGGTTTTGCTTGCGTTCCTCCAATCATTACAGCCTAAGTGCTGTGAGGTCTCTGGGGCTGGAGTGCAGGAGATCCCCACTGCAGCAGCCTCCTGCGAGGTCTCATGAAAACTAAGTCGTCCTCTTTGTAGGCTTCTTCTCTTACCTCCGGGGCCTGGGATTCCTGAGGGCCAGTCTTAGCACTGAAGACTGAAGCAAAGAAGGCATTCATTAGCTCTGCCTTCTCCGCATCCTCCGTCACCAGGACACCCTCCTCATTCAGCAGCGGCCCCACGTTGTCCCTAGCCTTCCTTTTGCTGCTGATGTAGTTGAAGAAGCCCTTCTTGTTGTTTTTGACATCCCTTGCCAGCTTCAATTCCAGGTGAGCCTTGGCCTTCCTCGTCGCATCCCTGCATGCTCTCACTACGTTTCTGTACTCTTCCCAAGTGGCCTGTCCCTCTTTCCACATGCCATGCACCTTTCTCTTCTGCCTGATCTCCACTAGAAGCTCCTTGTTTAACCATGCAGGTCTCCTGCCTCCTTTGCTATGTATATATATATATTTATTTTACTCTGTACAAAGAGTGCCAGATCAGGACACGTTTGCCAGTGATTCCAGAAGCGAGACCAGATTCAGGCATCTGTGACCTCTCTGAGAGCAAGCGTACATCCATATTTACGTCTACAGCTACATGTACATGTGCTCATTTATGCACTCTGTCACCACTGAGACTGGAATAAATACACCCTCTTCTCTTAACCTGAAGCTTCCCAAGTCTCACTCTGAGGAAACAAGCTAAGGCTGTGGCTCTGTCTCTCACAGACTTTTTCAGCATCCTCTTCCCTGTCAGCGTGTTTCAAGGTCACGCACTTACAGGTCCAGCCTCCTCTTCTGCCCGTATGCATACAGTACTATTTGCAGAGCATTCCGACACGTCGACACTGAGAAGGTCAAAGCTGAGCGATGTAATGCAGGACACACTAGGTGGTACAATAAGAAGGTTCTTGCATATTATTTGTGTCCTTAAAGGCAGAAACAGAACATTGCGAACTACTAATTTTCGCAAGGGACAAGTATTGTAATCATGGTTAAAACCTCGTGTCTCCTAAGCCTCATGTGTCATAAAGCAGCATTTTCTTTCCCAGATTACACAGGGAGGTGCTTTTCTCATTCATCAAATAAATGTGGTATCAATTAGATTAGGATATCAGAGCTTTAGCAACGTTATAACAGGAGCAGAGTATGCGCTAGGATTTTCTTCGCTCTAGCAAAATGAATATCAGCTCTCACCTCCCGTAATCATTCCTGTCCACCATGATCTTATTACCATGAAGAGAACTGTCTAAACATTTTGGGAAGCAGTAAGGTATTGCATTGGCATGCTTGCTGTGTAACAAGCTGATAACACATGATTTGTGTTTGTGAGATACAAAGATCGCTGGGATGATGATGGGGCAAGCCTTACAGCTCTTGCAAAGTCTGACCGCATCACAACAGGATTAGTTACTTTCTAATGTTCAACCTATTGATGAATTTATACTGTCCAGGCCAACCATGTTAGAAAGCCTATAATATGTGTTTTTCCTCCAAATGTAGAAGCCAATTCAATTCTAATTCCTTAAAATGGTGTCTAGGACTAAACCTCTTAGTTGTCTAAGAGAGAGCTTGAAGTTCACAGGGAATTAATTTCTTGGTTTTGCCTGTAAAGTATGTGCTGATGAGGTGCTTAGATGCTTAGTAAAAAGAAAATCTTATTAAAACAAGGCACTTACACGTTCTCCTTTGGGTCCTCTGTCTCCTGGTCTCCCCACAGCACCCTGAAAAATTGTTTTTGAAACAAAGATAAACATATCACTTAAAGAATTTGTTGTATATTCATCTGTTGGCAGAACTGAAAGCAACTGCCTAGGATTAAGAACTATCGTATCTGTGAAGAATAAAATACACTACTACACAAAAACATCTTCCTACCGGAGGACCTGGTAATCCATCTTTTCCATTGGTTTCTTACAAAAAAAAAAAAAAAAGTAATAAATATGCTTATATATACACATATTAAAAATATAAAGGATAAAAGGATAAAGCTCAGTGTTTAGTGCTGGTATCAGTACATGATCTGAAGCTGTAGAGTTAGCAGTATGTGTGGTTACAATATAGAAATACTCACAAATGGTCTCGAGATATATGAAATAACAGAACTTAGGGTGATACTGAACTGCAAGCACATTAAATTTGAGCTGAGAGTAGAGCAAAAAAAGTCTTTGGCATCCAGAGGTGCATAAACTTTAATGAGCACACAACTTGAAATGACAAGTTATATGGAAATTCTGCAAATGTGGAGAATGTGGACCTGTACATGCACTTTTTCCAGATCCAGCTAGTCATTATGCAATCATAGAAGAGATTTCTCTTATTCCAGATATCAGTCCTGATGCCCTATTACCCTTCTGCTTTTACAGAGATTACACTTTAATAGTAAGTAGCCAGATCCATTCTTTGGTCCTTAGGACCTGTGGCACTGCACAGCTTCAGCCTCCTGGGCTAAATGTATTTCCTTCCCAAAAGAGGGTGGTCTCATCCATACCACCTGCTGGAAACAGTCCCAGGCCCGTGTCATCCGCCAAACTGGAACATGGTATTATCTGAGAGTCCTAGCTGGCGTGGGCCAAAATAATGTCAGAGGGTATGTTAACAATTGCACAATGCCTGATAATTGCAAGATAAATGCTCTGGCACTGTTTAATCTATAGGACATACATGGATCTGCATATACAGCAAACTGCCTGCTCTTTTACTGAGTGAGAAAGGAGGACTTGCACAAGCAAAGACATCAGGAATATTTCCTTCCCTCTGGTACTGCAAAGTGGAGTTTTGCACAGATTTGGCACCTTGGGCCAATTCGCTACTGAAGTAACCGAAATTTTCTCTCCGTTCAAGACAGAAGCATAATGTGGAGATGTGCTGACAGACTGAAATGGTCTAATTCTCATGCTTGTCCCCAAAACGCCAAGCTTCAGGGGAGAGAGAGTTCTGCGTTATCCTAGCGGAACCACTTCTGGAATATAAACTAGGTTGTTTTAAACCAGCTCAGACGGTGCTGACTGCACTGCTGTCACACTTTTATTAAATAAAGAGGTCAGATTAGACATGTCTTAAATGGCCAGTAAGTGCTTCAGCTGCAGTGTTGCATCACCTGTAGACAGAAGAGTTACGCAGTTTGTTCAGAGTCATGAAGCACATGCTTCTCTATCCAAACTGAAACCGAGAATGAATTTTGCCACCTCTTCTTTACAGACTGTGTTGAGTGTTTGTGTTTGTATTCTCCTTTTGAAAAAAATACAAGAGCATTCTTTATGTCAACAGGATCCAAAGGACCCTCATAAGACCTTTAAAGGCAACATCTCAGTAACATTAACTATTAAAACACTACAATACCAGAAATTCTTAACTGGATGGTTAATATTGAGCACTGTAGCTCTGCGTGTTCTTCAGATGTTACCTAGCCTAACACAAGATGCATCCTTTTGTAATGAACAAAAAATTCAGTTCAAAATTGCTTACTGGTTTTCCTTGTGGCCCTTCTGGCCCGGGGAAGCCTATATCTCCTATAGGTCCTCTTTCACCCTAAGAAAGAAGAAAACACACATACAAATCTGCATGTAAAATCTCGTATTTGGTGCTTGAAACATTTGTGTATTATTGTAAGAGTACAGAACTCGAATCTGTACTTACGGGTTCCCCTGGCATCCCTGGGGACCCAGGAGATCCTGGCTTTCCCTGCAAAAAGAGAACATTACAAATTCAAATTACTAGGAAGCATAACATGATTTCTCTTAGGTCAGAAATAAGAGAGGATATATATTTGAGTGAAATATTCATGTTTCTGCTCATTAAATGCTTTGAGAGAGGAAAAAGAAATATTTTATCAGATTTTTTTAATATTTGTCCCATGTTCATCTGGCTCTCGTGTACAACTCAGTCATTTTGTCTTTACCCTTTCTGAATACTGAGATAATGTTTTCATGAAATTTTCTTTTACAACACTATGATTTCCTTCCTGAGAAGTCACAGTCAGGTCAAAATTTATCACTGTGTACATGAAATCAAGATTTTTTTCCCTTCAGGTACTTGCTAGTCCTGTTTTTTTTGAAGTGACTTTATTACTGACTTAACGCCTTTTGCAAACTTTCTTCATGCTCTTTTTCAGTCACTTTTATTGTTGTTTTATGTTCAGCCTGCCAGAATTCACAATCCTATCTCATCGTTTCGATGGTGATTTTAAACGTTTTAATTTTTTAAATGATGACTTGCTTTTAACAGTTTGTCTGGTTCAGCCACAGACAAGAATCTATTACCCTGAATCTACATTTCCCAGAAATCTCCTTAGACCAGCTCCTCAGCTGACTTGTACGAATGAGAGATCTAACACACCAACACCAGTGACGGCTTCAGGAACTACAGGACTGAGGATTCGTGCTGAGGAAACAGGTATTGGTGGCAATTCTTGCAGAATCTCAGTCCAACCTTCGCTGATAATCCCGCTCAGCCAAAAGCCAAAGCTAAAATGAGAGGTTTATATTCCAAAATGGGAAAAAGGGTCCCCTATTCAACCTAGGGAATAATGCCAGGCAAGGAAGACAAATTCTCTTCCAGTAAGATATGCGGATATATTTCAAAAACTCTTCCTAGACTACTAGAAAATATTGTTTCTCATACATCTATTAATTTGTTAATTAAAACTGCTTAGCATAATGTTAAAGCAAATAATTGTAGTGGATTTTGTTAGAATTAAATGTAATCAACAGAATGCAACTCCATCAGTGATGAAGGGAACTCATTAAATATTTCATATACAGCTAGAATAGAGAGCAACAAGAATAGGACGCGTAACATATCCATTGGGCAACACACAGGGCATGAACAATTATGATGATCCTAACTGGCTACTGCATTACTGATTCACAGCATTAAATATATTTCAGAGCAACAAACTTTGAAACTCTTACATGGGCTATAAAACTCAGAGAAATACTTCTCTTTTCCCCTTAAATGTGCATTTTTACCTTGTTTTAGGAGAACTTAACTAAATTAAGCTATTTAAGTTGATGTTGTCTCTTGGAACTCACAGTAAATAGACTAAATCAGTGGCTAATGGAAATGGGAGTGCATAGACACAAACATCTCTATTCATGAAACACACAGTTATAATTTAAAAACAGCTCCTGAATGGATTGGTAGTTGCCCAAATTTAATAATAAATGTATTTGCATATAAATAACTCCATATTGCCTCCTGAAATATGCATAAACTTTTTTATTAAACTGTGAATTCAATCCAAAGAAAACTTGTCTTCATTTCCTTTAGGAACACAAATGAATAATTATAATTTCAATTTATCATTAGTTACATTTACTTTCACCTACAACAAAGTTTCTGGATGTCTTTCAGAAACTTCTCTGAATACCACATGTAAATAGCTGACAAAAGTATTCCCCTAAAGCAAACGTTTGATCGACTTGATATGCAGATCCTCATGGACTGCTGTAACTAATGTTCATAGTTTTTCTTTGTGATAGAAAGATGCTCAGAAATTTGTGCATGCCCAGGAACATGGAAAGTGTCTTTATTAAACTGAAGCAATGAGAAGAATCTCATATGATTTCTTAACTAAGCATATGCAGCTTCAAATTCCAGCTTTATCATGTATTCACACCACTCCCTCCTGCCATTTCAATAGTAATATGAACCCTCAGTGGTATTAAAACTCTAATCTCTTTAGGAAAAACACATCATTTTCACACCTGCCTACAAAGCATTAGCCAAGTGCTGGCGTTTCACAAACAGGGATCGAGATTACAGCTCAGCACCTTGCCTGACCTGTTTTTTCAGCTTCTAACAAACTGTATTTTCTTTAATGAATATACATACCGGTATCCCTGCTACTCCTGGCATGCCGGCTGGTCCACGGTCACCCTGAAGAAAAGATAAATCTGTACTTAAATGGTTACACTCAAAACAGAAGTTTGTTTGCAGATTCCCATTAAAACCTGAGGAAGGATTATTCAGTGAACTGAAAATGAGGACAAGAGCCAGGCTCTGCTAAATGCTAATATTTAGCTCTGCCACTGACTCATTTTACAGACTTGAACAAGTAACTTAAATCCTCTGTTTATGTTCTCTTGTATAATGTCATAATTTCCATGCTACCCTTTATACTCTGCTTGAGGCCTTCCTTGAAAAGGGATGGAAAGTCACAGACTTATCTGCAGTTTTCCAAATACTTATTATTTGCAGTGATGACAATGACCAAAATTAACATAGGGTAATTCACTATCGTATCACCTTCCCCGTATTTAAGATGCACCTTTCAAAGAAGTTTTTGCCTTCCTGCTACCCATTCATCCATTTGCAAGCATCCTGGATTTGCTTGTGCCAGGGTCCTCTCATGGCAAAGTTTCTCCCTTTAGCATACAGCCACATTCATCTATGTTTTAGGCTGAGACAGTGGTGGTTGTGCGGGAGCTGATGAGGTGTGGGGCCAAATTCATCTTTCTTTCTCGAGAGGGCTATAACCCAAAGCACAAGAATGGAGCTCACCAGTGGCAAAACCTCAGAGCAAGACTCGCTCCAACCCACTGCTGACATGTCTTGGTCTGTAATACCATACTCTCCTACTGCAATGTTGGATGAAAATGTAAGAAAAAAAATCAGGCTCCTAGTTTCTGTAATCACGTCAGGAAAGCCCTGACACAGTTACAGCTGGACTAAGAGGAGAATATTTTTGTGAGATGTGTTTATGTTACCTAGGGTGGTTTTGCAAAAGCTCCTCCAACACAGCTACAGCCACCATCTGTTGTGCAGAAGTGCCCCGGGAGATGCTGGGACTTCTGATTTCTGTTCTTACACCTAATGCTGATCTGTCTCAGTCTCATAATTTGTTCAGGTAACACAATGATAATGTCAGTAACTAGAAACACTTAACTCCATTATACGAAGTTTAGACAAAAGACAAGCTGAATGTCTGAGCTTGTGTCAGAGGGAGAAGCTTGCTTATGACCGTAGTTTAACCCCTCTTGCTCTGGAGACTAAGAGCAGTCACTTGATACAAGTTCACCCCTTGGTGAGGAACCCTTGAGTACTGAGGATCTGAAGCAGGGCATATTGGCTGGAGCACCGCACTCTGTCCCTGGGGTTATTCTCCACCCAGAACTTGCTGTTTTCCCTACGCGCCGGCTATAACGGTGGAGCTAGAAGTTCCCAACACTTCCCTTGAAGCTTTTCTTTCGTTGGAGGGTTATTCTGTCCTTTCAGTGATGTGATTCGCAGCATGGCTGCGCAAACCACCATGTCAGCACTGCTGAGGGAAGCGACAGTTTATCCCAAGGATGTAAAGTTCTTCAGCCAGTTCATGAGATTGCTGTGAAATTACAGCCCACGTTGCTGCTGGAGAGCAGCTCTGCGGAGAGGGACCTGGATGTCCTGGTGGACGACAGGTTAACCATGAGCCAGCAGTGTGCCCTGGCTGCCAAGAAAGCTAATGGGATCCTGAGATGCATCAAGAAGAGTGTGGCCAGCAGGGCGAGGGAGG